GGCAAAAAAGTAGTCTTATACGCCAGCAAATAGGGTAATCCAATTTCTAATAAGAGTGTAGGTCTATCTCTCTCTGTGTGTGTGCGTGTGACACAGAGAGAGAGAGAGAAAGAGAGAGAGAAAGAGAGAGAGAGAGAAATCGGTCCATGGAAGGTCTTCACATCCACACTCTTCTCTTTGTGTTCCAGTACTTAATGGTGAACTGACAGGAGGTGCTTTCAGAAATGGACGAAGGACGTGTCTCCCAGCTCCCTGTCCTGACACGAGCAATATCAACCTGTGGAACATTTTGAGGAACAACATTGGAAAGGATCTCTCCAAAGTGTCCATGCCAGTTGAGCTAAATGAGCCTCTGAATACTTTGCAGCACCTTTGTGAAGAACTAGAATACAGTGAACTCTTGGACAAGGCTGCTGAATGTGATGACCCCTATGAACGCATGGTGAGAGGCCCCACATGGAGCACACACAGCATTTCACGTTCTGTCATGTTCTTATGTCAGAGCTCTGGCCTGAGATACCTCTGAGCCTTTTCCTTCCTTGAGGCCTCAAGTATTTGAGGTGTGTTTGTGATGAGTAAGTGACACTGAGTCCTGAAGGAGCAAAAGCACATAGAATCGTATCACCGTTCGTGATCGTTGTGTTACTGCACAAAGCTGCACAAAGCTATTTGTTTCATGACTAGTCTAGGTTTATGAGAAGGAACCCGTGTAAGATTGCAGCTCCTTCTCTGTCAGTAAAGGAACTATATGGAAAACATTTCCTAAAATCAGGGGAGCGTCGCATCAGATCGCTCACAGATTTCATACTCACTTTATCTTTCATTTTGTTTCTTCACAAAACTTGGCACTATTGTTTGTTTGTTTGTTTATCTGCAATACAAAACATAACAATTAACAATTTAAAAACAATAAGCAACTATAACTATTACAATAACTGTAGCAAATCAAAATTAAACAACAGAGCACATGCACAAAAACAACATAGAATTAACTGAAAATAATTAAAGTAATTTAAAAAGCAAGGTGGCAGAACTGATCATATGAACACTGAGACCACCACTGTGTTAATGATGTTGGGAACTCTGGGAAGGCCTGTCTAAAAAGCCAGGTTTTCAAGGAGTGTATAAAAATTCCCAGTGAAGGGACCAAGCAAATTTTGGGAAGGAGATTATTTCAAAAATAAGGAGTGACCACCAAGAAGGCCCTGTGTTTGGGTCTTCTCTTTGTGGATCTCTCTCAGGGTCAATGTTCTCAACTGCCCGTCCTGAGAAGATCGTACAGGGGTGGGCAGATCTCATTGGAAGGAGGCATTCTGCCAGCATTCTCCCTTCCCCTCAACGGGTCTTAACTACGTAAATGGTGAGAGAGAAAGGTAGGGAGAGAATGATGTGTGGGTGTTTTTTTTCCAGAAATGTGTAGAAAATTGGAAGGTTATGTCCATTGCTCTCATGCTGTCTTCCTGGGAGGTTTTCTCTGTAGCTCCCTTTTCATGTGGCCCAAAAATAGTTCCACACTCCTCAAAGGTCTTATAAAAGAGATAGATTTTTGGAGTGATGGAAATACTCTTCTTTTTGAATTATGCAGGACCTATCTGCTTATAATCCTCCCCCCCCCCCTGTCACATAACCATCACTGGCAAACTTTTTTTTCTGAGGTTTTGGTAGCACCTCCAAAGGTACCGGATAATATCCAAAGAAAAGTTGTCATGTGTAGTGGGAAAACAAGGAAGAAGCATTCTTGAAATGGAGGAACGAGAATTCCCCCATCTTCCCCAGTGGGCTGTTACGTGACCAGAGAGCAGTATATATGTTTGTCCTTCAAGGCAACTCCACATGTCAGCCTCCTTCTTTTCCTTGATAATTAGATCAAAGAGAACGCAGCAAGAACATTCTCCATATCAAAACAAGTTTCAGGCTTGTGTGTTAACCTAGTTCCCTTTGCTCTGGGATTAAGATTTCAAAAACGCTCCCATCTCCTTTCATGTGTTCTGTTTCACCTGCAATAGGTATCATAGCTTCTACCAAGGGCAGGCAACTTCTTTCTACTGCGGGCTGCATTCCTTCACAAGTAATCTGTTGGGACTGCATGTCAGAGGTGGTGGAGTCAAAGCCAACAGTAGGTTGGCCTTAAAACCCAAAGTGGGTCACCCCTTCTCTCCTTTTCCCAGTTCTTTGACGCTTTCTTGTTCTTCCTTCCCAACCCTGTGGACTGCTAGGGAAGAGAGGGACAGTCTTTGCCAGAGACCTGACCTGGGGACTTGCAGAAGGCTTTAGATTTCAGACTGTGGGGCACATTTGGATATAGGGGTTGCCAACGTCCATTTGTATCAGATATACCTGTTTTGAACTGACGAGTTGCATAGCCCTTTATAATTGGCTCATTTTGAAAATGACCAGCGATTACTTCTGAAACATAACCTTCCCATTTGGAAGAAACTGGGAACTAAAACTAAAGGAAGTGCTTCCAAAATCATTCCTCCAGCAATCATCATCATTTGTTAAAAGGAAATGTCGACTTTGCTAAGAAAACGATGAAACTGTGTTATACCTCATCTGTGAATGTCCAAGGATTGCACAGATTACAAAATTAGACATGATTAAGAGTGGCAAAATTAATGACCTACAAGTGTTCATTATGCAAAAAAATCTAACTTGCCAGCCACCAACAGTCTGTGGGAACATCAGACAGAGAAAGGTGTCAGAAAATGAAGACGTCAAGATCCTGTGGGATTTCTGGATCCAAACTGACAGACGCCTTGAACATAACACACCAGACATGATAGTAATAGAACAGAAATGTCTGGACCAAGGTTCCCTTTAAGGCTGGGGTCCCCAAACCCGGGTCCACACCTGGTGCCGGTCCGTGGCCTTAGCAGGACTGGACCATGGAGACAGATCTCCCACAGGCACGCGCAGCCCGCAGGCACGGGCGCCCCACCCATCAATGTATGTGCACAAGTGCACCCTGCCTACCTGCAAGCGCCCCACCCATCCGTGCATCTGCGCAAGCACACCTTGTCAACCCACGAGCACGCCCACGCCTACCTGTGCATGTGTGCAAGCGCGCCCCACCTACCTACAAGTGCACCCCACCCACCTGTGATTGCAGGGGTGTCCCATCCCCACGCATGGACCCTACTCCCCCAATTGGTCCACGGTTTGGAAAAGTTTGTGGACCACTGCTTTAAGGCATGCTCCTGAGAGTGCTCATGTGTACAACTCCTCCTCCTTCTCCACACAGCTTTCATCTTCCGCCCCTTTGGTTCCAGTTGTGACGGAACCCCATGGGAGGGGGGAAAGAGTTGCACATGTGCTGAGGGATGAAGTCGCAAGAGAGAGAGGCAGAGCCCCACCCAGCGAGACTGAAAATTAGAGGATATACTGGCCTGGATCATTAACACTGCAGTTCCAGGGGATGGCAGAGTTGGAGATAAGGAACTGGAAAGACTAACAAAATAACAGAGAGCTGGCAATCGAAACATCTCACTTGGGGATGAAACACACTTCAGTGGTCCCCGTTGTCATTGGGGCTTTGAGAACATTATCAAGAAATTTCACACAATATTATAAGTATGGTAGTTGCAGATTCAAGAAATAACATCAACAGCTACAGAAAAACTGCAGTATTACGAATAGCATACATACCACACCAATATTTAACATATACCTAGTTTTTTTGTTAAAACTTGTATCTGTTATGTAGCAGTTGATATTTTTATCATTTTGATTGACTGTCCCTAACAACAACAACAACAACAACAACAACACTATAATTTGACAGTTTATCGTGACATACAAACCTAGGATCACCACATTAAAAGGAGAAGTGGGATTTTTGGCTCTTAACAACATGCATGGGGAAAGAGGAAATTTCTGTTAAGTTACACCTGCCAACATTCCCTATTCCAACAAGTGTTAAAGGTACAGGAGCCCTTTCCTCTATTTCCTGTAGTCAGCATATGCAGACATAGTCGTGGTGGGTTTTTCCACTCCACCTCCTCCGAACACACCCCGGTGGATGTTCTTGGTATTTCTACTCCTCTCACCCTCCACAATAGAAGGGAGCCTCTTGCCCTTCTCTGTTATGTTGTTGTGATTACGCTACTATTACAATGATAGAACCAGATAGCACATCCTAAGATGATTCCCCTCACCTGGAAAAAGAAACGTAGCGGTTTATACAGTCTCTACAGGGCCTACCTCAAAGTGTCATTCGGAGGGCTTTTGTTTTCGGATATTCGGCTGAATATTACCTTTGTTTCTATCCGTTAGGTCCTTATTGCTGCCTTTGCCACTTCAGGATATGCCTCCACTTATTACAGAGCTGGAAGCAAGCCTTTTAACCCAGTGCTTGGTGAGACGTACGAGGCTATTAGGGAAGACAAAGGATTTCGTTTTTTCTCAGAGCAGGTAAAATGTGTTCCAAAAGAGGCTCTTAAATAGATTTGTGGCTTTTATTTTTTAGTTAAGGCATTCTGTTTTGACTTAGGAACATTCGCTGATACGAAAGTGAAGATTTACTTTTTGAAACAGACGCAATAGAGTAAAATAGAATTTTACACTACATTTATTTTAACGCACCAAGTGAACTATGAGATAACGCTAAATCCAGTTTATGCACAAATGCTGCAGCCTTACCTTTGTATAATAGGCACTTTAGCATAGACCTTATGTGTGAAATGTTTTGCTGTGCTGATAAAAATGAAAGTTCTTCTGTATATTTTTTGTACAATTCCTCGCCACCGTAATTTTTTTTTTCCAGGTTAGCCACCACCCTCCCATTTCTGCCTGTCACTGTGAATCAAAGAATTTTGTGTTTTGGCAAGGTATACATTTTAATTCAAAAGCCTAAAAATCAAATTTTGTTAAAAGAAGAGAACCCTTGTATTAGAATTACTCGCATTATCTATCTTTTCCTGAAATTTACCTGAAAACTTAAGATAATTGTGAAGCCTGCCCTTTTTAGCTCTATCTCTTTCATATTTGACAACCAGATGTTTGAGAATTAGCCATTTTATGCATTCAAGATAATAATCTGTTGAGAACAGGGCTGAGTTAGTTACTGTGCTAGGGAAACAAATAGAGCACTGCATATATTTAGTTACAGTAATTTGCAGCTTTCTAAATCTCTGCTCTCTTATTCAGATATCAGGTGGAAAAACAAATTCTGGGGCAAATCAATGGAAATCCTGCCAATTGGAACTCTCAATTTGACACTTCCAAGGTAAGGATTTTCTCAATTCTTTAGTTTCTGTTTTTTCATTCTGCAACAGCATGTCAAGTTACAGAGGTACACTGAGTAATAATCCAACACAGCTGTCCCCCAACTTGGTACCCTCCAGATGTGTTGGGTTACAAGAATCCTTCAGGCAGCTGTGGAGTGCCTCAGATTTGAGGAGTTTAATAGAACAGAACTGGGGCCAGAAAAAGCAGAGAGCTATATTGCAGTAACTTGTAGGTTACGGTGAAAGAACCATGATCTCTTAAAAGAGACAAAGCCTGCATATCTTACTAATTTGTGTGGTCTAATTTCTGGTAATAGATGTGAAAATATTTTTTTTTCTGAACTATTTTCCTTTTAATATTTTTAATAGTTTCAAACTGTGGATAAGTGAGATCATGAATACTGATCCAACAGATACGGGGCGTCCTACTGTAAAGTGAGTGTCTGTTTGCATTCACAGTAAAGGAACATTTTTCAAACCCTTTTATGGAAAAGTTTGATTTCCTCAGACTGTTTCCCTTAAAAGATAAGGGTGAGAAACATCTTGATGATTTCAGTGGTGAAATCAGATTTCAGTGGTGGCTGCCATCATAGCACAGGGCAAACCCTTTTTCAGTCTTACTATTCAGCAGTTGAAGTGGATTTGCAATCAAGTGATCCTAGAGTTAATATCAGCAATTCATCTTTATTCATCTGGAATCAGTATAATGGAATAGACAAAATGGTAAATTTGAAAGCAAAGAAAACTAGGTTTAAGTAACCCTTTGGTCCTCAAGGTGAATGTATAATTGGGAAACTCACTATGTCTGAGCATGACCTGCCTTGAAACCTTCTGGGACCAAAATAGGCTTGTTGTAACACTGGCCAAAATCCTGTTGCACAGTTACACAGAAGACATAGTCTTTAGTGGCAAATTGCCCCCAATTAAGCAGTGTCTCATGACTCACCGGGCAACAGATAATGCCACCAGAGATTTCTTAACATAACGTAACCGTGCAACAGGATTTCAGCTGTTATGTGGAACTCTGTAGGAACAAGAAAATGTGAAATCCTATGAAAGGATTATTTTCGAGCACTGATTTATAATCAAAATGGGATCTTCTGCATCAAATACTGAAAAGAGAGGATAATAATCAGCTTGTAGCATGTTGGATTATGATTTCTGAAAGATGGTGTACTCCCATTGGACCAGACAATCAAAACTTTCCTACAGAACCCTGTTTCAAGTGCACACACTCTCAGAGGTGCAATGGGTAGAAACATACCAGAAAAGAAGCCCAGGGGTGATTTGTGGTCCAAGGGAGGGTAGGGTAGTTTAACCTAGAATTTCAAGGTGGAGAACTCTTCCTGCATCAGCCATAAGTGACCTATCTTGGAGCCTTCTCAATGCCGAGTAGTGACATCAAGACTAAGGAATGTTTAGTCTTGTTGCGGGACGTGCAGCAATGGGCTGAAGATACACGAAGCCAGATTTTGGTTGCATATCAAGAAAAAACTTCCTAATTGTTAGAGCAGGACAACAGTGGAACCAATGACCTCCCAACGCTGGAGGCATTAAAGATAAATTTCAACAACCACTTGGGAGATATCCTGTGATTTGTGTTCTTGCATTGAGCAGGGGGTTGGACTCAATGGCCCTTCCAGCTTCATCATTCTATGATTTGTCATGCACCCACATGGCTAGATTTAAACACTTTCATTCACCCAGGCTTTTGGTGGATTGAGAAGTCAATACAATTGAGATCCTGTTGTAAATTAGAAAGTGCCATCAGCAAAGCAGTGCAGGTTCACTCTTGCTCGCCATTCCCTGAGTGATGGCCCACGTTGAGAAGCTGCATCTTCTGCTAGGTCAGCAAGGTCCTGGTTGCCTCATGGTGCGAGTACAGCAAATGTCATCACACTGCTTGTACAAGAGTCCATCATCTGAGTGGCTTGACACCATAGGATCCTGGCCCATGGTTGTTACCATTTTCATTCAGTTTTTAAAAAAATGCTTTTTGAATGAAGATGTGCTGTTTTACTTTGAGACCTAGAGGGTGGGAAGGTGCATTATACATGTGTTAAATAAAGAGTAGGCATCTTCAGAGGGTCTGGGAGCTAATTTTCTGTATCCAGGACCCACCACAAATCATGAAAGAAAGAAAAAAAACCCTGAAATCCTGTGCCATCAGAATTCTGACTTACAAGGACCATTTTAAACGGGTGTAAAGTACTTAGAAGTGGATGACCGTTCCCTTCTTCTGGTGGCAGTCTAGGATTATGCCCGTAAGTGCCTCAGCCTCCTGCGCTCTGGCTGATCTTGGCTGGCCCTTCTCTGGGGAGGGATTCGCTCTCCTGTCTCTGCTGCACAATGAGACACACTTTCAATAAAAGCCAAGCAGTTTCAGAAGGGGGCCAAATTTTGTGCCCCTGGGACCTACCACAGCCCATACCAAGCTCAAAAGGGGCCGGGGGCCAGGGAGAGAAGGCTACTTTCAGTTTCCAGAATTCAACTTCCGTTTTGTTTTGAGGAAGTGTTGGGGCCCTTTACCCCACGTTATGGTAAAAATGCCACTCCTGGAGGCTTGCAAGAGGGGGAAATGGAAGTCTGCGGAGTACAGAGGGTTTTATTGGGGGGGGGGTTGCAGCCTTGGGTGTGGGAGCCATGCGCACCCCACAAGTTGAACTTTGCCTGCTCCTGTTTCAAATAAAAGAGAAGAATCATATTTTTCCTTGTACTTTCTTGTTCTGGAACTGGAAAGGAAATGCTACGGTAGGTTATATGTGAAAATGCAGAACTTTGAAAGGGTGCTTCTGAAGCACAAGTTACCACCTTTGACGTTCTTTCCAGGTATGGCGACTGCTACGTATGGAACAAAGTCACTACTTGCATACATAACATTCTCAGTGGAAGGAGATGGATAGAACATTATGGAGAAATAACCATCAGAAATACAAAAAGCAGTGTCTGTATTTGTAAACTCACATTTGTTAAGGTAAATTTCCAGTGATCCTTATTGTGGACAGTGAAACAGCCATTGTTACAACTGGTGCCATGCACAGAATGGGCCCTGGGATCATATAGGGCCTCTGGGAGGTTGACAAGGCAGTCTCAAGGGATGGATGTGCCAAGAGCATGAACTGCTGCTTCATGGCAGGGGACAAAACATTAGTTTGCTACTTGCCAAAAATCATGACATTGCAACAAGGAAATTGCTCTTTTCCATGCTGGAAGCACTGTGTGCAGTCATTACCTCCCTGCAGTCGTGGCCAAGATGCAAACATTCAAGTATCCACATTGGACTTTAGCTTTTACAGTGTGAAATATGACAGGTCCTGTCTTGGTGCCGGCAGGTCAAAGATTCTCGGTTCTGAAATGTGTTGTAACTTGCTTCTAGACATGATCTCTGGTTGTATGAATCCATTTCTCAGTTTAGAATAATAATTTAAACAAAGGGGGCTGGAGCTCTTCCACTTTAAATCTTGGATCTGCAAATCTCCAGCTTTTTTCGTACTTCTCTTCTGTCTTCCTTTTGGCTTATAGCCGCATTCACACCACTCCACAAAAGTCCATTAAAATTCATGCAAGCAATCAACTGAGATTAGTGCAGCTAGACCCTTGCACCCAATTTGATGGCTGTGCACGTGGTTAGAGTTCTTTTCTTGGGATTGTATATGAAAGGTAGAACAGCTGTTTGCTATATAGGCAAAGGTTGGGGTGCTGGTTTGAACATTACCTCATTAATGCTAAGGGTTAGAAATCTGGAAATTAACTTGTGGCTGTTATCATTGAAATGGGAGATTGTTTAATCATTAGTTGTGGGATTTAAAGTGGATGGCATGTTGGTTTCCACTGTTGAGCCACAGTAGTACTGGATTCCTTTAGAAGTGCTCTCTTGGTTGCTTTCAAACTGCCTTTCCTCCTGATGAACTACACATCCCATAATTGCTGGCTTGGGATGAGGAGGTCCAATATGTCAGGAATCTGTAAAATTAAGGGAAGACTGTCCTAGAGTTCAGTTATGTTTCATCTGCATCACTCTTCTTTCTCTTCTTTAAAAGTCACATTTTAAAATTAAAAACAAACCACAAACTGGACATCAATTCCTGTAGATATTTGCTCTGGAGAAACCACATGATGACACCATTAATGGTCATGTTCTAAAATGGATTTCCACTTTGCATATGCATTGAGACAGTAACCCATATCCTGTTGTTTTATGTAGTAAATCACATTAGAGTACACCTATTTGAATCAGTGGGGTGAGTCAACTCCTCCGTCAGTTCCATTGATTCAAATGTGCCTACTCCATGATGTACTTTAGCAAGATAGGTTGCAGTTAGAGTAGACCCATTTGAATCAATTGAACTTATGGAGGAGTTGACTTCACCAAGTTCCCAACTCTAGTGTGGTTTGCTGTGGCAAGCAAGAGGATTTTGGCCAATATTTGCCTTTTTATCACATACCTTGATATCTTTCTTCTAAGTTGCATCCATCTCTTAGATCTCAGAAATAGACTGGTTGGATATGCAGAGACCCTCTCTGTTGCACGATTAAGAAAAGTAGACTTACTGTAAGTGAAGACTGCCATTCTGTAGCCACTCTACCTAGAACTAAGCCCCACTGAGTTCAGTGGGACATATTTCTCAATTGTTGGTGTTGTTTATTCATTTATTTATTATTTATTTATTTAATTTATATGCCGCCCACACTACCCAAAGGTCTCTGGGCGGCTTACAACATTTAAAATACAATAAAGATATGTACAATTAAAATACAATTAAATATATATATAAAATTGCCATCAGACCCACAGCTAATATTATTTCAGTTAAAAGCCTTCTGGAACAGGAAGGTTTTGACCTGGCGCCGAAATGTCATCAGTGTCGGCGCCAGACGAATCTCAGTCGGGAGGGCATTCCATAATCTGGGGGCAGCT